AACGATTACAGTATTAAAATTCCTTTAGAAGTCAAATGACAGAATAACTCGGTCTCTATTGTCATGCGATGAGAATTTCCGATAAAGTGACATACTAGTTCTTGGTTCTCGAATTAGATTATTTGCTCTCTTGCGGCTTATAAGGATCGGTTCCGAAAACATTTCAGCAGAATGAGCATTATTTCATTTTTATGGAAAAATACTATCCTCGAATACTCGAATACTAAAAATTATCCGCGAGTATTCGAGATCTTCGCTTGTGCCAACGATAGATCTGACATCTAGCGGTATTAGCGCGAACTACGTAATGGCGGATGCTAAGAGTATAAAGTCTGACTGCAGTAAAGTCTGTGGTCTGTTAGAATTAGAAAGTGTTCAAGCTACAATGGTAAATAATAAGTATTGCTGTGAATTTAGATATAAGTCTAAAGGTTCATCAAACTCAGTACATATGCGCACATTCCCAAAAAATAAATTACATCGAAAAAAGTGGGAAATAAAACTGAAGTTATCACTTCAGTATCACCAACACCTAATTTTGATGCGCTTAAAATTCTTTTATTTTTACAAACGTTTTCAATCTATCTAATATAGACCATCGTCAGGTTTAATATTATAAATGTTCCAAAATGGAACGTACCGTTTTTGAATATTTTACATATTTAAAATTCAGAAAAATAATTTAACTTTAAAATAAATTGAAAGTGTGTATATTAAATAAATAAAATAAATAAATAAGAAGTAAATAAAATAAATCAAAGACAAGTCTGTCCAAAAGGGATCACCATTGAAGTAAGACGTCTGTGTGTCACCGATTCTTTTTACTTTTAATTGGATGTTTGCGTTTTTTAAAGGACTTTTTTTACCTTTGGCGGCATGAAGCCTAAAAAGGAATTCCTGTCGCCATTAATGTGTATGTGTAGTCTGAAATGCAAAATAAATGGTAATCCCTCTTGGACAGACTTGTCTTTGATTTATTTAATAACAATCCAGCCATCGGACGGAAAAATTCAAAAAGTAAATACACAAATAAAATATAGAAAACAAAGCTAACTAGAAAGAAACATGATTTAAGGGTTTTTTTTCTAGTTAGCTTTGTTTTCTATATTTTATTTTATTTAATATACAGTACACACTTCTTTCAATTTATTTTGAAGTTAAATTACTTTTTTGAATTTTAAATATGTAAAATATTCAAAAACGGTACGTTCCATTTTGGAACATTTATAATATCAAACCTGACGATGGTCTATATTAGATAGGTTGAAAACGTTTGTAAAAATAAAAGAACTTTAAGCATAGCAAAATTAGGTGTTGGTGAAACTGAAGTGAATTAGTTGCTAAGAGGTAGATAGATATGAAGTTATCAGTTTTAAATTATAATATTAGCCTTATCCTTAAACCTATGAAAGTTAGCCTATTTTCATATAATCACCCACGCCCTCTTCAAGGCCCTAAATTTTCTTTGCGCAGGATTTGCCATCCACAACATAAAAATTAACCAAGATATACGAAAAATATCCCTTTTTTAGCATTTCCTCTCATTATAAGGCCTCTTTTCCGATCACCCACATATTCTAAAATGTCATAAGGTGTAATCATCATGACTTAAACAACTTCGAAATCAACTAGGATTAATGTCGGACACAAATGCGAATAAAACGTTTTGACTACAGAGAGAAAAATACATTAAAAAGACAACACACATGTAACTCTCGTATGTTGCCACGCACGCTATACCCTTTGTGGCAGCCATTTTGGTCGACTCATACGCCACCTATATTTACTGGCACAAGCGACTTGAATATTCCTTTGAGGAAAGAAACTCGAATACTACAAATACCTCTAATATCGCGCCATGGGTACAAACAGCGCCTCTTCGGTTAGAATTGCCAGATAGATAGTCAGTTATCCTCAGTGTCTGCATAATTTCCCAAATTAAGGCATTTTATCAAAAAATTCTCCACGATAATATCGATTATACAATTTCAATAATTTCAATACTCTTAACTTTTTATTGAAATAGTTTTTCGAAGAGTTGTTTATTGAATTTTCACATAATGCTTTGTTCTGTTTCATAATTTGAAGATATATCTAACATTGTATAAACTCTTGGAAGAAGAAAAAACATACGTAGAGCTGTATTTTAGTCCATATTATTATATTTTAAATCATAATAGGCCTACATTGTTACATTTTTTCCACTTTATGTACGCATATTATGATAATAAACCAAATACTATATATAGATATGTTCACATGCTTTAAATGTACTTTAATGAATAAAAGTTCTTAAATTTCATATTCTTTATTATATGTCTTAATATGTCATCTGTATTATGTCTTCATAATCTGACTTATAAAAACACACGCTTCCAATTATTTGTAGTTAATGATGATAATATATTAATAATTGGATACTTGACTGTTTATAATTGTATATATTTATTAAATTATTACGGATATATAAAACTTTATAAACTCAAGTTAAAACAGAAAATAATTTTATTAAAAACATTAAAATTATATTATTGAATTATTTTGAAAATTTTGGAACAAAAAAGAAATGGAAATTTTGAGTTAAAATCATAAACCTTATGTAAAATATAAAATTTAACTTGTGAAAAATTGTTCATAAAAGAATTAAACGGTAAAAACAGGAAATTTGTCAAATTTTTTTCAAGTGAGTTGCTTTAATCACAGAAAAACTTTTTGAAATTTAATAAAGTTTATGTTTTTATACAGTTGAAATATTTTAAAATTTCTTTTGGGATATAGCAAGATATAGGCTACATCATATTTTTTATAGTAGAAATTTACCACTTTAATTGAAAAATAAAATTTGTCATGTAATTCGAGTTAAATATATATAATCCTTCCTCCCTGTGAGCACTAAGGGAGCCTTTTTATCAAGCCCCTCTTGGGCTCGGTCCAATCTAGGGGACGGCTTGACGTTGAGGTCATCGATTTTGATCAAACTCGGTGAGGATATGGTGCATCTCCAAAGACTGATATGTGCCAAGCAGCAAGACGCACTACTAAAAAATTAAGCAAGAAAATTCACGTTGAAGATCGCATGACGAGCATGGAAANTCTAATGTCGACTGCTTTACTCACTTCTTCAGGATTTTTCGGAATTAATAGCATTATAATTGTATCGATCCCTAAGCCTATTAATTTCAACCTGGTTTGGATGCCATTCTAAGACCGTTGTTCTGACATTTTCCCACTTCTTCAAAAGATCTTTAATAGCAGATATCGGCATTAATCCTCTTTTTCAAAAGAAAACATACGTCGTCGAGTTTCTTGGTGTTCTTCATTCAAGAGTTCTTGGCGTTCTTCTACATGTTTTTTTTTTTAAACTCTTTCCGCCCTGTGGGCACTAAGAGGGCCTTTTTTGCAAGCCCATTATGGGTTCGACCAGGCCCACAATGGGGCTGCCGAATGGTGAGGGACCGGGCCCTACATATCTGAACGGACCACCCCCGAAAAATTCCTGGGGATTTTTCGACCAGTTCGGATTCGAGCCCGGGTTCCCAGAGCCGTAGGCTGCCACCTTTACCTCTCGGCCATCCGGCCGCTTCTTCTAAGTGTTGGTGTTCGTTATCCGATTTGTTCGTTAACCCATCACCCACTGTACCGGTGGTTGATCAAATGGTCGCGAGGATAAAGTGTTATCGTCTCTCGTAGGGTTCCGAATTCGAATCTGATATTTATCTTAGATCAGTGATTTTTAACCTGTGGGTCTTGTGTACCCTGTGTAAAGCTTTGCGACCTCCAGGGGGGTCGCAAAGCCTTACACAGGGGGTCGCGGGTAAAAGAAAAAGACAAGTGCTTGTAGGTCCTACACTACAATAAAAAAAAACTACACTCTCAGTGAGAAGGCTGTGCCGGTTTATTTTACAGTACAATTGGGTTTTTGATCGATATTTAGGTCTCAACAGAAAGAAACTTAAATACGTAGTTTTTAAAATCACTGACATAGTTTTAATATGGCCCTGAGGGTCGCCAGAATTTTTTAACTTATAAAGGGGCCGATTATTCAAGAAGGTTGAAAAGCACTGTCTTAGATGATAGGAGTTAGAGTGTTGTTCTCATTCTTTATCCATGTTCATCAAATTCTACTATAAGCTTATTTTTGAAATCTTCCGCTGTGGGCACTGACACGATCATTTTAGCAAGCCCCACTTTTTCGGCTTTGGGCTTCGGATTTGAGCACGGGTATACCAGAGCTGTAGGTTGCCACCCTAACCTGTTGTGTCCGTTAACTAAACGATTACTTGTTAACGTATATAATTAACTTTATTATAATACAAACGTAACTTTGTGCCTCCAGATCTAAGTGTTATAACAGCTAACGCACGACTGACTTGAGACAAAGGAACACGACAAAGTTCAGAGGTGCGGGGTCGTCTAACTAGGTCAAGAGTAATGTCAAGTAGGTCAAGAGGCAATCCCCTGGAGGTTTACATACATAACACTAACTGTTCGGCTATCCGGTCATCTCTACTATAGATGATGATCGCCAGATGATCGAGGTACAGTACAGTATCTTGCTGCTCTGTGGACCCGGATTCGAATTACAATCAGAACATCAGAAATCTTCGCAGTTTTACCTTGATATGACGGTTTCGTTTCTTATTACCCGTCTGGCCAAACTTTTTAAGCTTGAAAAAAGTCTTCTTGATGCACATGAGAAAAAATTTAAAGAAAAGGATAATATTTTAAGTCAAAATTTCTATTTAGGATAGCAGGCTCAATAAGTTAATCGAGTAAGGTAGCAGGTTACCACTCTAAAGACCCAGAATTGAATCCGGGCAGTCGATAAACCCCAGACATTTTTCAAAAAGTGCTCTGGTCAGAGCCACATTACGCTTTTCGTAGGCCTTAAGCACTTTAAACTTTAATTCCTTAAATAGAATGTTTTTTTGTCTTTTTTTAAACTATTTTTGAATTACAAAACAGTACAAGAATTATTGTTGCTGCAAAAGGAGTAGAATTTAGTATCCAGCTTTCTTATGAGTTCTTGAAAGTCTAAGCTTTGAATCACTGCTATTTTTCAATGGTGATGATAAACCATCTCCTTCATAACTGACAGTTTCTTCATTAGCTTGAGTCATAAATAATATTGCAAGTGTACATTCATGATTCAGGAAAGCCTATTTATAAATGTTAAAATTTTCTTAAATATAACCATTAAAATAATTAATTAATCTAATAATTTTTAATACGAACATTGCTCTTAGAATGTACCGGTATATGTCAATCTTAGGATCAAATTCTGAAAGAGAACGATTTTTTTCAACATTAATTAAATCGCATTAAAAATCATTTAAGATCTAATTTGTCTCAAACAAAATTATCATATTTATCTGCACTTAGCGTAGTGGGGGCGCCAGGAGCGGTCCGCCCCGGGCAGCACTTTTAGGGGGCGGCAAAATTTCACAATAAATAATAATAATATCTTGTAAAAATTTGAACCATTTCATTTCATATTTTTGTCGCATCTACGATTCGGACCGATTGAAATGCGCATGGAATTTTTCATTACTTATTCTGTGACGAAACTGAATTTTAGTCTTTTAAATTGAGATACCTAAATAAGCGGGTGGCGAAATTTTCCTCCTCCCCCGGCCGCTGACATCCACGCTACGCCAATGTCTCCACTTTACATAGAAAGTGAAATATTAAAACAGTTGCTAATTGAGGAAATTAGTAAAGATTTTTTAAGAGAAAAGTGTAGAAAAGTCTACATAAAATAAACTTTAATTCCCATAACTTCTATTTTCTCAATTTTAAATTTCGCAAACCTTTAATTTTTCGTATGCACTGGGCACTGTGCCTGAAGTGCCTAGTGGATAAGAGAGCACTGGGTCTGTCCGGATAGGTCAGGCCTCGTCACTCATTATCCGGCCACCCTATTCTGGACCTGGCTGAATCTACGATAGACATGAAAAAGGCCGTTTTAGTCGTGTTAGTGTCCACAGGGCGAAAAGAGTAAAAAAAAAAAAATCAATTAATCGAAATACAAGTTAAAATGAGTAAGATTAAAAATCATTAACCAAATTAATGAAAAGGAACAGCATGTTTAATTTTATTGAATAGTAAAATTTCGTCTTGTCACATTGAAATATTCAGAATTTCATTGCTGTGCTGAAGGATGGAAACGAAATCTTGATCATAATTGCCTGTGAAAAATCAAGAAATTACTTTCGAGTTCGCCCAAGATGACAGAGTGAATAAAACTAATGAACACAGATGGTTGTTAGTCGCAGGTTAGCATCTGACCAACGGGTATTAACCAATGCAAAATTAGGTTTTCTACGATTTTGCATTTCCTAAAACCCGCCGGCGGACGTCCATATACAGTATATGGATAACCAAACGGATATATACACGAAAATCCGTAAGATACATATAAGGCAACACTTAATCCGGTACTGGAAGTACATTAAGCCCCCTTTAACGCTGCCTCGCTTAACGCTGATTCGATATAACGCAGTCTGCTCGAAGCCTTAAAAAAGCTAAAAATTTACGCCGATTTAAATTATCGCGGGATTTCATTGATTCGTATATAATACGATTATTTGCGAACACCAACCAATCAGCAAAAGGTGACAAAAAGGAGTACTTTTTATAAATCTGTATTTATTTGGTGCAATTTTGGAAAAAATATAACATTGTGGATGCCATAGGAAATATCGACTTTGCTTGGCAAGAATTAATTGATAAATGCACGAACGAATTGTAGAAGAAGTTATGGCTGAAGGTATCCATGAATTCTTAACGAGAAGAGCCTATCGGTATATCGTTAGGTTGATCAAACTTAACCTAATCGATATAGCAGGTCCAGGAGATATAGACGAGCAGGATATTGAGGAGTTACAGCAGGTTTCTAGTGAGAGCCTTACCAACGACGACCTTCCAGAACTGGCAGAACATGCAATCCATGTGGAACTGGAAAATAGAGATTCTGAAAACAAAGAACCCAAAAAATTTCTCTACAGATTTCCTTAGTAAAAGTTTGGTAATGCTAACCGATATCATTGATCAAATTGTAGCGAATGATCCATATTTTGAAAAGAGTGCAAAAACAAAACGAGGCGTTTTGGATGTGATCTTCTACTGACATTTGCTTGAGGAAAGAAAAAAGCAACAAATGAAACTTCACAACTTTATTGCAAAAGAACAAGAATTTCAGAAAAGTCAGGACCTTCGTCACAAAAAATGAACTTTACATTTTTGTGTGCATATGTTTGTCTTATTTAACATATATTATTATACAAATTAATATAAAAATAACTTAAAATTAAAGTAAAATTTGTTTATTTTTGGTCGCGTGTTCCCTTATCCCTATTTACTCTGTGATAAAATGACCTCGTTTAAACGTTGTTTCACTTAGCGCTTTGTTGTCTAGGAACGCATCACCCGCATTAAATGGGATCTGACTGTACTGTACGAGGACGTTTGTACGGCCGGGGGACATTCAGATACAAAGTAATATCCGAATAACCGTTATGGATATCTATGTGACATGGTTAACATGTTCGATGATTATTAGGGAAGAAATGGCCACCGAGCAAACGGCCCACTGGAAAGTAGGAAATTTTATTGTGGGCTAGTCCACCATCTGTGAGACATCAGATTTTCCTGTTGACAGGCACATCGCCTACTGCTGAAATGCTGGTTTCAAAAGTCATCTCATCTGACAGTCGGTCACTCCTAGTAGTGGTGCAAGGAACATTGACAATACAGCTATACGTTCAGGAAATCCCGCACCTAAATCATATATTGTCTTTTATGGCAGTGCTGCACACAGCCATTTTCCAGAAAGGTAATGCGTGCTTAGCAAACAGCTAGGGTTTCCCAATAATTTTTATGTTGCATTGCCTCACGCCCTTGGCCTCGTCTCTAGATTTGTCGCCTGTCTATCATTTGTGGATCATGCCAGCTTCGGCCATCTACGAGTGTGAGAGTGAGAGATCCGGAGTAATAGTTGCATTATCTGTGGACAAATCTGTCGAAGAATAGCTTATAGATTGTAAACCTGCATGTCCGATCGTATCCAGCCACATGTATCCAGGCAAGTAGTGTTCTTGCAAGGTAGTAAATGTTCCTTTAAATTACATCGTTGTTCTACAGGAAATTGTCCCTTTGCTATGATATCGCAATTGCATATTACCATCGTCATTACCTTAGCACTAATAAAGTTTTATTGGATTCCAATACCTTCTTGGTGAGTTGCTTTTTTAGTAATCAGCGAATAAATTAATTATGTTTTCCTGATATTTATTGAGCTCATCAATGGCCGGGTGGATAAAACCATTAAATACTGGTCGTAGGTTCGAGCATCGCGAATTTTCTTCAGCTTAGTAACACCTAAATAGAAGCCACTTTCCTATAAAAGACTTTGACAGGCATATCCCGGCCGCCCCTCGGCAGATCGTCCATGTGTCGCGTTGCCGTATAAGAATAAAACCAAAACCTAATAGTTATTATCGATAAAAAAGTTTAAAAAATAATACAGCAATATTTTCTGCTGTTTAAGAGTAGAAAATTTTGCTGTATTATTTTTAAAACTTTTTTTTTCTGCATTTCATTTTTTCTTGAATTTAAACTTTTTAATTTTATACATTTTTTCAGCAATTTTTTCATTTAATTACATATAACATACCGGTAGTTAATCTAAGGCACGTCATTCCAAACTGCGTCTTGTCCACTTTTATAAAATTCCTTCGGCTAATTATATCACATTTTATTAATTCTACATGCTGGTTTATGCAAGTAAATCAATATAAACTACGTCAAATTCCTAGGTTATAAAATATTTTATCGAATACTGAAAATTAAGCGAAAGTGGAAAAACGCACTTTGGAATGACGCGCCTCATATGCTATGATTATTAGAGTGGTATCTTATCGCTCTGGGAGACCCGTGTCGAAAAACTATATGACTTTTCGAGAAGTGATTCGTCCGGATATGTCGGTCCCCATCCTCACACCCGGCCGCCCTATATGGATCTGGCCGAACCCATAATGGACTTGCTATAAGAGACCCTCTTAGTGCCCACAGTGCGGAAAAAGCAAAAAGAGAATAACAAAAAAAAACCCGGTCGATCCCATTCAGAGCCTGGCCGAACTCATAATGGGCTTGCTAAAAAAAGGCCCTCTTAGTGCCCACAAGAAGAAGAGAGTTTAAAAACAAAATAATTTTTGATTTTTCTATATAAAGAGTATAATATAAAACATATACAGTATTAAAAATAATTTTATTCAATTTACTAGTATTTTCATTCACTAAACCGCACGGCCATTCGCCCGTCATAAAAGAAACCATCATCGTATAGTTCAATCACACATTAATGATAAATGATTATCCAACGTGAAATTAAATATTTAACAATGTAAATTAATGATTAAAAATTGTTACTGAAGCAAAACTGACAAATTCTGAACTGACATTTGAGAAATTTCATATTTCTCTCCCATTTTTGTCACTTTTTAAATTAAATTAATATTTTTATTTATTAAATATCAATTACNGTGAATTCACTTAATTTTTTCAGTGAAAATACCTTGGCATTGCCCTTAACAGCATTTGAGATGTCCTTGTTTACCCAGGTAATATTTGCCCATTAGTAATGACAGTCATCAAAATCATTTCAAAATAATATATTTTTATTATAAAAACAAAGTTTTCAATTTTTTACGTGTTTTTCATAAACATATTGAAAATTAAAAGAAATAATTTTTATCTGCAATTGTCATATGTAGTACTGTACATGCTTTCAGTTTTCATAGTTAGATATTTACTAATGCTTCATTATCTACAGAATATGCACTTTTATATCTAGACCTTTTGCTGATTTCATGGATTACAGTATAAATATCAATCATTCTTGGTTTTTTATAACAAAAATTGCAGTCTAGCAAAATTCAATATCAAGACAATACAATAGAATTAATGTGAATGTTAGAACTTGTTTGAAATGTTCGTAGTTTAGAATTGAAACTTTTTGAATCGGAAGAATGAATTTGGATTATTTAAGATGATGCTTTTGAATGGCTTGATGATGATCTAAAATTCCAAATACTATGTTTATTATTATTATTATTATTGACTTCTCTATCTCTACTAAAGCAGAATTTTGGTGATGAGT